GTATATATATATATATATATATATATATATACCATATATATATATATATATATATATATATATATATATATATTTTACACTTTTCGTAGTGATGTTTTGTAGTATGGCACCATCAAAGCTTTCAATGAGGGTAGCCACATTGTCCTATATCAGGATAGTTGATATACTTAACTGGAGGATTTACACATGTAATTTAATTTGCCACATTTTTGCAATGGGGGAGGTGCACTACAGTTAACACACATGTTTACGTAATTGTATTATTTTTTTCTTGTTATTTATATTTTGCAATCACAATTAGTAAGGTGGGGTTTGGTAGCGCTACACCAAAATATCTTTGTAGAGATGGAGTGGCCAATACTGGAGATGAATGAGGTAAGGGTGGCTGTTTAGATAAAGATTCTGCTTAAAGTAGGCCCAGTTTTCACAAATATTTCCTTGCTCTCTAGGACAGTTGTAGCTGTGTATGTAGAACCTTTTTGAGGAATGATCAGTTCAAGGGGAAAACACATTAAAACTCTAATACAAACTGAGGTTGTGATTTTGTTCATTTTGCATTCATATCAGTTTCAGTGTGGCCTCTGAAATATTGGTCACAGACTCAGGTCTGCCACAAATCCTGAGGTTATTACATATATTGTAGTTATCTAAATCTTCAACCTGCAACTGGACCTGTGAAAAAGTTATTATTATTCTTTTCATGGGTGATCACTATTTTAGTTGACAGCATGATAGCCTGTCAACTAAAATAGTGATCACCCATGAAAAGAATAATAATCACATAAGCGTAAGCTTCAGTATCACTGATATACAGAAATGTTTGTTTATTTGTGGCATTTTGACACCCAAATCATGTTCTTCTATTGCCCTTTGCAAGCTATCTAATAGAAAATAAATACACATCTGCATATAGTACTAAAAGCACCATACTTTTCAAAGATTTTTTCCCCAAAAACTGACAAAAATATAATAGCATGTCATTTTTAAAAATAATTTCTTTTATAGTACACATAGAAGATAAATCTCAAACACTTACAGTTCATCCTAATACCAAAATAAAATTGGTATAGATGTTGAAAGACAGACACATGGCTTAATTCCCCAAACTGTGTATAACATATGTACACACCCCAGAAAAAAAAAAAGAAAAAACAATGCAAACAAGCAGCAAACACAAAAATGTGTTGCGCTTAATCTAAATGAATAATGACAATACTCAAATTATATAAACATCTAATATTAAAATAATCACATAAATCAATACAATGTAAATTAAAAAAAGTCCATATATAAAAATAAAAGTCCCATCCAAGTGTTAGAAAGTATATGTATATGGGAAATATATTCCTTACAAATTGCATAGCGTGCAGGTACCCAACACCTCCATTCAAAAAATGGTAACAGGATGCACGCTTACCAGCTCCCCATGACTATCTAATATAATAAGAATGTTCAAAAAAAAGCTTATATGATTTCCTCCAATGACAAAGATGCACCCACAGCAGCCTCGATAATGTACAGGAATACCGCTAATAGGCAATAAAGGATCCTCCCAGCATGGTATTATCATGTAAGGCAAAAGAAGGAGAAGAGCCTCTCCATAGTGCAAAACCTTCATAGAAGTTAGATTATTTGATAAAAATAGACATTAAAACAACATGTGCATGTAGTCACAATACAAAGAAGCCAGCATCAAAAATGTGTTTCCTAAAACGCGGTGATGTCAGTGCGTAGATCTACCCAACATGTTTCCTCATCAGAAGACGTCTTCCTTATCTATTAAGACTACAGAGAAAATGGAAGTAGCTTTACCAAATGTAGAGATGTACCATAAATCAATATATCTTGCTCATATCCTGGATTGGTTTGATAAGTATCCCATTTACTTGAACAGATATGCATCTCTGGGAATCTTTCATGCATACCTTCTCTTTCCTATATGGTTCACCTCTCTCAAAGCAACACATGGAGAAAGTGTATTATATAAGGGAATGGGTAATGGAGTTGAATATCTCCTTTAATGAGAAAGAAAATTCCTGGTGTTTCTTATGTACACATATAGTAAGTTAAATATGGCTAGTGTAACACTGTTCAACAGGTAAAAAGTTTTGGGCATAAAATTATCTAATCTTACATAATTGTGGGGTGCTGAAAACAAAAATGACCCTAAAAAATGTTGATTGGCTCTAGTTTCCATGATATATTCACCCATCTAATGACGTAAGCCATTCAAAATTATGATGCAACTTCAGCTGCATATTGCGCAATTGATACTGGTGACCAATAGAAACTTGCATGTATACTGAGATGATGCAATATTAGCCTATTAGAAACGTATGAAAACTTGAAAGAGCTTTTAAGGTGCATCAACTATGATGAACATCAATGGTCGATTTGTGGTGACCTGAAGGTGATTGCTATCCTACTTGGACTTCAAGGTGGATATACTAAGTACTGCTGCTTCCTCTGTGAGTGGGACAGTCGTGCGAGAGAAATGCACTATGCCAAAAGAGACTGGCCATTACGCCAGTCATTGCAGCCTGGAGAAAAAAATGTTAACTATCCAGCACTTGTAGACAGCAATAAGATCTTATTACCTCCATTACACATCAAGTTGGGATTAATGAAAAACTTTGTTAAGGCAATGGACAAGAATAAAGCAGGTTTCAAGTACCTGATTAGCAAATTTCCAGCACTTAGTGTTGCAAAAATAAATGAAGGAGTCTTTGTTGGGCCACAGATTCGTAAACTTATTCATGATGATGAGTTTCTTTCTCTGTTGCGTGGAAAGGAAAAGGCTGCCTGGACAGCATTTGTATCAGTGACATCAAATTTTCTTGGAAACAATAAAACACCAGACTACAAGAAAGTGGTAGAAAAACTCATCCAGACTTACAGAAATCTGGGTATGCAACATGTCTCTAAAAATTCATTTTCTACATTCGCATCTGGATTTTTTCCCACCAAACTGTGGAGCAGTGAGTGATGAACACGGAGAGCGCTTCCATCAAGACATTGCAGCTATGGAAAGAAGATATCAAGGTAAATGGAGCCCATTCAATGCTTGCTGACTATTGCTGGACAGTTGTAAGAGATAGCCCTTTCCTCGAATACAAGAGAAAAGCCAAGAGAAGCAAAACCGACACAAACTGAAGACAAAACTAGTGAGAATCCTAAGTATTAAAATGATTCAACTTAGCTTATGGCTATAATTTTTCTTGGTAATCCTATGCAATATATTATACCATTTAGGCTTTGTTATGTAGTCAATATCACTTGCTTTATATTTGTGGAAAGACATCTATCTATATAATTATTGTGCATTATGTAGTCATTACGCCTATAGTAGAAAACTTTCCGTTTACAGAAAAACTAGAGCCAATTGACAAATTTCATTGTTATATTTGAACTCAGAATGTGAAATTCATTAAGAAATGGATCCTTTTGTTTCCAAAACTGGCAAAAAATAAAAATTTGTTGAACAGTGTAATTCAAGAAATACATTACAATTTGGTAACCTGATAGTACATGTCCCGATATAGGCCACAAACTCAAATAAATTCTGGTGGTGTTTATCAGAGTTTGGAACACTGTTACACATTTGGTACAAGTGTCCACTAATCAAACAGTTCTGTGATAGAAAAGCACAGATATACAATAAGATGACATCAACAAAAATGAAATGGTTACTTAATGGATACTTTGCTCTTGGTACTACCAAGTTCTATTTCTCTGGTAAAAAAAATCATTTCCAAATTGCTAATGTTTGTTCTTTGTGCAGCTACATTTCCAGATACTACAATCAACCAAATACCCAGGATTGTGGAATGGGCCTTAGAGATGTGCTATTTGATGAGATTTGAGGAATTTGTAGTACAACACCATGATTTAGAACATACTGGTTGCTGTGGATCATACATGTGGAAACAGATAATTTTAAGACCTTGCTGTGAATTGTTGAATTATTAGGTTTGTAGACCTCAAAGTGAGATTGGTAAGTAGCCTGGAAATAAAGTAAGGGCAGATTTTCTCTCTCCCGGTAGGAAGTAAATTCCCCTTTCCCTTCTTCACTCCCCCCCTCTCCTTTTTGTTATCTTTGCTGTTATGCATTTTGTATAAATTATAGTTACTTTTAATTAATTGAGATTGAGAAGTATTGTATGTAATATGAGAATGTGTGCATATTATCAATCAAAGGAGCCATTAAATATATATAGAGATAAAAGATCAATCTCTCTCTATATATATTGTCAAAAGTACTGGGACTCCTGCCTTTACATGCACATGAACTTTAATGGCATCCCAGTCTTAGTCCATATGGTTCAATATTGAGTTGGCCCACCCTTTGCAGCTATAACAGCTTCAACTTTTCTGGGAAGGCTGTCCACAAGGTTTAAGAGTGTTTCTATGGGAATGTTTGACCATTCTTCCATTTGTGAGGTCAGGCAATGATGTCAGATGAGAAGGCCTGGCTCGCAGTCTCCACTCTAATTCATCCCAAAGGAGTTCTATCAGGTTGAGGTCAGGACTCTGTGCAGGCCAGTCAAGTTCCTCCACCCAAAACTCACTCATCCATGTCTTTATGGACCTTGCTTTGTGCACTGGTGCACAGTCATGTTGGAACAGGAAGGGGCCATCCCCAAACTGTTCCCACAAAGTTGGGAACATGAAATTGTCCAAAATGTGTTGTGTGCTGATGCCTTAAGAGTTTCTTTCACTGGAACTAAGGGGTCAAGCTCAACCCCTGAAAAACAACCCCACACCATAATCCCCTCTCCACCAAACTTTACGCTTGGCACAATGCAGTCAGGTAAATTCCATTCTCCTGGTAACTGCCAAACCCAAACATCTCCATGGGATTGCCAGACAGAGAAGCATGATTCATCACTCCATAGAACACGTCTCCACTGCTTTAGAGTCCAGTGGTGGGTTGCTGTACACTACGGCATCCAACACTTTGCATTACACTTGCTGATGTAAGGCTTGTAAGCAGCTGCTCGGCCATGGAAACTCATTCCATGAAGCTCTCAACACAGTGTTGTTGTGCTAATCTGAAGTCCACATGAAGTTTGGAGGTCTTTAGCTATTGACTCTGCAGACAGTTGTCGACTTCTGTGCATTGTGGGTTTCAGCATGCGCTGACCTTGCTTTGTCAGTTTATGTGTCCTACCTGGCTGAGTTGCTATTGTTCCTAGTTGCTTCCACTTTGTTATAATACCACTAACAGTTGACCGTGGAATATTTAGTAGCAAGGAAATTTCACGGATGGACTTATTGCACAGGTGGCAACCTATCACGGTACCATGAATGAATTCACTTAGCTCCTGAGAGCAACCCATTCTTTCACAAATGTTTGTAGAAGCAGCCTGCATGCCTAGTTGCTTGATTTTGTACACTTGGGACCATGGAGGTGATTGAAACACATGAATCCAATGATTTGGTGGGGTGTCCCAATACTTTGGGCAATATAGTGTATATACATATAGTTAAAGTGATAATAAAAGTTCCTTTTTTTCCTGATAAAATATTAAGCATGTCATACTTATCTGCTCTGTACAATGGTTTTTCACAAGGCAGCCTTGATCTTTTTCTTCTGGGGTTCCCCACTGATGCTCCCGGCTCTTTCTCTTCACTGATTTTCTCCAATGGAAGACGCTTTCTATGGGGGGGTCACTCATACAGGTTCGCTCCTGAGCCATCCTGTCTGCGTCTATTGACACAGACTAGGTGGCTCAGCCCTGATTTCTCTTCACAGCTTTTGACAGATAGCATCAGGAGCCAATGGCTCCTGTTGCTATAAATCTGCCCAAGAGGGACAGAGCTGGGAGAGCCTTGGCTCTCGTCCACAAAATGGTGGATCAGGAATGGGCTCAGGTACGTATAAGAGGGGACAGGGGGGATTCTGTTACACTGAAGGTTTTTTATCTTATGCATAGACTGCATTAAAGTAAAAAATCTTTAAGCTTTAAAACTACTTTAAGGAGTAGGAAATAAGAATGCTGAAAGGTATTAAAATGTATTTTATTGATTGAGCACAGTAAAATAAAGCTGAAGCCCCCAACTTTAAACAATTTTTAAAAAATTTCCTTTATATAATTTAGGGGTGACACCACATTGTATCATCAAAGTTCATTAAAATGTTAAAAGAGTGTACACAAATACACTTCAAAAACACAACCCCACAATCCAGAAAGACACCAGTATATATATAATAAATATATATATATATATATATATATATATATATATATATATATATATATATATATATATATATATATATATATATATATCTGCACCTCCCTAGGTAATTGATTTTTTGGTGGGAACACTTTTTGTTGCAAGCAGCCAACCATAATTAGAAGAAGTAGATCATACACAGGTTGGTGGCATGGGATTACATATACACATTTTTAGGTACAATCCAGAAATAAGGTAATTTTTCTCCTGAAATAAAAATTGGAGTGTTTATTTCAGAGACAAGAGTGACACATATACTGTAGTACAGCGACTGGAGAGTGTGTAAGCAGCACGATTAGAATACAATGTAAGCAGGAGAGACAAGGCAGTTCTTTTTTGTGAGGCCTCTAATTTACATACCCGTCTTTGTGCTGGGAGTAAGCCGCATGCTCCCAGCACAGAGACCGGGGTCTCACTGAGAGCCCAAGGTCCCGTGGTAATGATCGGGACTCAGAACTCCTGATTCAGGGTCACCTGATTGCTGTGATAGCTTCTGATTGGCTATCACAGTGATCAGTCACTGTGAAGCCTGCCCTCGTGTTTTCTCTCTCTGAATGGAGGGGAGAGATACATTGTGTCTCTCTCTGTCCTTTCAGAGAGAAAAAAAAAGTGTGTTGCAAAAATAAATAAATAAATAATAATACAAAATTAAAAAAAAACCTAGATCAACGTTTGATCAGGGTTAGTGTTTGGGTCAAGGTCAGGGTTAAAAGTCAAGGTCAAGGATATTTTTTTTTTATGGTCAGGATTTTTTTTTTAAATTAGTATCAGTGTCAGTCAGTGTTAGAGTATTTTAGGCAGGATTAAAAAAAATGTGGTATTGTTGCAGTCCTCAGGAGCAGGATAATTTATTTTGAGCTATTCTTTGGTGGTAGGTTATTGTAGTACCGTGAAATATACAGCTAAATTAAATTAAAATTTTTTTTTTTTACTATTTTGGGTCAGTTTTCCTTTGATAATAAAAAAAAAAAACAGGAGATATCCATTACCATTCACCACCAAATGAAAGCCCAATTTGTCCTGAAAAAAAAAATAAGATATAATCCACCGACGCGATGATATGTATGGTTTTACTAACACATATCACAAAATAACACAAGTTGCAAAATTGTGCTTGGGCACTTAGATTTGTTTTACCCTTAGGCACGAAGGAGTTAAATAAAATGATAGTGTTTAATCTCAGAGATTATGGTGACAAACTGTACAGTCGTTGCACAGTATGTATGCAGCTTTATAAGATGATGCAGGTTTTTTTACAAAATAAAAATTGTGTATCATTGCAGAGACAATAGCCAAAATAGTATACAGTCACTGTCCTGTATGTCAGAAGCTTTATCAGGACAAAAAGCAAGACTAATATGAGGCAGTTATATCATTAAACACAAAATATAGTGTATTATTTCAGAGACAATAGCCAGAAATATTGTATAGTAACTGCATAGCATGTAAGCACTTTTTAGGTTGCAACGTAAGATGAAGGGATGAGGAAGTGTTTATGAGGAAATATAAATGGGAATACCTTATTTCAGAGATGATAGCCACAGATATTGTATAGTCACTGCACAATATGTAAGCAGCTTTGTTAAGCCACAAAATAAAATGAGAGACGATAGTTTTTTCATGAAATAAAAATGTGTGTATAATTTTAGAGACCATAGCCAGAAATAGGCATTTTACAGTTACAGGGTAATATGTAAACAGCTTTTTTTTTAGGTCGCAATGTACTCAAAATGAATCCCTACTCCTGATATCAACTTGGAGAGATGACAAGAACCTGCTTCAGAAATGTATTTTGTCAGGAATGTTAGTTTACGCATTTTGATTGCCCTAAAAAGTTCACTTAAAATTTTAGGCTACATTAGACTACATACAAATGTACTCTATAAGCAGTGCAAAGGGTAGAGCACTAAGTGGAGTAACTGACTGGAACCAATAAAAAAACTTTTCTCTTAATGAAGTTAAGCGCAAAAATGATGCCAATTGGCTGATGTGGGTAGCATTCTTTGTACTTAGAGTATTGCTTATTGTATTATTATTACTGAATAAACCAATGGTCTATTATTCCAACATGTTTTTTTTCTTAACAAAACAAACTCACAATAGTGTATTACCTCAATACCTTATATGCATCAAATCAAATATCACTCTCATCTTGTGCAAAAAAACAAAAAGTGCAAAAACTGTGAAAAATACACCAACATTGTGCAAGATCAGTGATGTGCTTCACTCTGTGCAAACAACTCCCGTGGTGTGTCACCTCTGCTGAAAACAGCAAATATACCCTTACCAGAAGTCATAAGACAACACGCCTTGTAAAACACTAGAAGGTATCCTCAGAAACGCTTCTTCTCCTCTCCGCCACTCCTGAAGCTTAGTCATAAAGGATAGACCTAGACCTAGACCTAAGGTCTATCCTTTATGACTAAGTCCCGGATGTGACGAAACGCATCAAAGGAAGTGACGTCGGACGTACAGCAGGAACCAGAAGTGGTACGGTGGCCATTTTAGATATTGGAAACCACAGAGAGATCCACCTGGAAGCTGCCTGGTAACCCTCAGAACTGGGGATATACTTACTACGCTTGTTTTTATTTGTCTGATGTAAGCAGATTGATTAAAAGGTATTATTCTACTTGTCAAACGGTGTTATACTATTATATTATTACTTTTCACCCATATACTATCTGGATGAATGTCTGGGGAAGGCTCATGTGTAACCATGATGGGAAGGTGATAAGATTGAAAAGCTTCAGGAGTGGAGGAGAGGAGAAGAAGCGTTTCTGAGGATACCTTCTAGTGTTTTACAAGGCGTGTTGTCTTATGACTTCTGGTAAGGGTATATTTGCTGTTTTCAGCAGAGGTGATACACCATGGGAGTTGTTTGCACAGAGTGAAGCACATCACTGATCTTGCACAATGTTGGTGTATTTTTCACAGTTTTTGCACTTTTTGTTTTTTTGCACAAGATAGAGTGATATTTGATTTGATGCATATTAGGTATTGAGGTAATACACTATTGTGAGTTTGTTTTGTTTTGAGGTATTCTCCAACTTTCTGGGAGCCAGAGGAAGGGCTCAACATCTTTAAGAATTATCAAGTTGGAGTCTGGACATTTTTTTGTGAGTTTATAATTTTGGACTATAGTGACACTGTGTATTAATTTTATTATATTTTTAAGAGACTTTATTTATATAGTATATTATTTACAATTTTTTGTATTTGTGTTTTTGGAGGTATATTGCCTAGAATTTATTGGTTGTGGGGTGGGAATTTGTAAGGTGGGGATTCATTCATATTGTTATATGACTACTGGCACTTTCAAGGGTGAAAGTTTTTTATGAATATTGGGTTAGTTTATTAGAGTATTAGATACCGTATTTCACATTTATATGTTTTTTTTTTCTGCTGAAATCTTGAAACAGGTAACTGTGCAAAACTGTGGTTTTGTGCAAAGTTAACGCACTTTTGCAGTGAAGAACATTTCAACTTACAAAGGCCCATTAAAAAGTGAGGAAGGTTTAAATAATCCCCATTCCTAAAGATCATCCCCACCTTTCCTTGCCTGCCAGGCTGCATGCTTGGATAAGAGCATGAAATGGATTTGGGGTGGGGCATTCATGTGTTTCTTGTTTTTTTTGTGTGGGGTTCAACCTTGAAGGAATACATCACTAGTTGCTTCGAAATCAGCAGCCACCAGCTCCCTAACAATCAGCTTGAACAGGAAGCTGTCACATTTAGCAGTTGTAGTAATACTGCTACTAAACATGTCACCTCCTTCAGTATCCAGGGGTTCAGCTTGACCAAACACCCTAGTTAGTCTGGCTACAGGCTGAACTCTGAACATGTGAAATATATGTGAATATATCAATATCAGTGCATCAACAGTGATAAAGTGCTCCACCTGCCATTTGGGCAGCCTCTTACCAAATGATCATTTTATTCCAGGTAACGCTCCTCCTCTCGGGATAAAAAACATATAATACACAAGGTATTGTAATCAAAGCCTCTCTCCCATTCTTCTCTGTATTCAGCCTTCCCATAGATCAATAGTAAAACAACACGGAGAAAGCAAAAAAAGCTCATAGTACTGAAAATCACATAAAAAAAGCTTCATTCACCGCCAATATGCTTACATGTAAGAAGGTATACAAACATCCAACAATCAAAGCTGGTTGCTTCTAGTTCCAGCATCTGACATTACTTTCTGATGCCTTATATCTATAGACTTTGTCAAAGG